GTCCGGTGGAGGGCTTTAGTTAATTCGGTGATGAACCTTCATGTTCCATAAGCTATCTAGTTAATTAGTTATTAAACTTAGAATAAATAGGCATTTGCTTCTTCCTCTGTAGTTGCTGTTCATTTTTAAGTTACTCATCCAATTGGATAAATTAAATAACAATTAAATAACCCACAGAGTATATTTTAATAGGCAATTCTGTTTGAATGCAGTCTAATGCACGTAATTCTTTCAGTGATTGTAATTCTATGCTTGTGTTCTTTCTTCCACAGTTAGGCTCTGGTATTATAGGCTACCGAATCTACAACTATGTGGTTATAGAACCACAAATGATACAAAATATTTCAGAGGGGAAGTTGGGAAATCTTGACTCATCTCGTTCGTATCATGAATTTTACGCAATTTGGTCTGTTTTGCTGTTACATTTAGCTTGGCCCCAAATTTTCAAATACACCAGTTTCAAATACAACTCGTCGCTTTTCAAGGTAAGTGAATATCTAATTTTGATATTCAGCAGTTTCTGTATAATTTCTAATTGATGCTGATTTATAAAGTTCTTACCAGATTCTAATGAGATGATGTTGATGTAACTTCGTAAACAAAATGGTATTTAATGCCTTTCCGTTTTATTTTACAGCTCTGGAAGGAGATTACTGCAATTTCAGTTGTCTTCATCGTTATTTTTGTGACATATCTTCAGATCATTAACTCGAAATATTGCGATTACAGATAACATCCTCGGTATTAGTTAGACCAGTAATTTCCATGTAGCTCAGGTATGTTTCTATGTATAAATGTTATATTGATATTAAGTTATGTAGGATTTGAGGTTTTCACAGCGGTGAGAATGAAGATTGGATTCTTCTGGGTTGATACACCGTCATTAGGGCGATGAATTGCCCTGATGATGGAGGCAGTATGACCTCTAAGATATTGGTGGACATCTACCAAACTACGCGGCGCAACAACCCAGAAGACAGAAATCTTCATTGGATGTTATCTTATCCGATTAAACAAACTACGCATCCAGAAATGTTCCACATCGACACTTTACACTAGTGTGAATTTGTGTTTGAGAAAAATCAACCTTGAATTATTTAACCCTAAGAAAATTCTCAAAAATTTATACAAATGCAAGCAAATTCTGCATGCATCTGACTCCTCTAAGTTAAATCTTCAGGTCACACTAACCTCCTACTGTCTACCGGCCAAGATAAAATCCCTGCCGCTGGTAAGTCTGTTCTGGTGCGGTGTATGGGGAATGTCTCCTATCATGTGGACTAGAGGGCTGCTATTGGTGGGAAGTGTGATACGCCAGAGTTTTACTCTACTACACAGACTGAAAACATCAAGCAGTTAAGAGTTTCGTGTAGTGGGTGCAACCGTACTGTGTTCTGTGAGTGTTGTGATAATATTTTAGATACAATGACTGTACCACTGTGAGGTAATCTTAAAGCTGTACCCATTAGGACACACGAAAGCCTTCTGTCTGTTATTCAGTGGTTGAGGAAAGAATGCTTTTAAGATTGGTAGTAGCAACTCGTCTTTCACCGCGAAATATTGTGCTTCCGCGTATATCGACTTCCTAGCAGGGATTTTATCCTGGTCGGTAGACAGTAAATTTCAACATCCTGACAATGGTAATTAGGACTACTTACCCTTGAAACTTTGAATCTGACAGGCTCCATTGCTCACTTATTAGGATTCGACTCTAAGCACTTTTACCAACAGTTCAACTTCCTTATCACTGTATCTGCACAAACTAAATATAGATTCTCATCTGACAGAAACATAATGTGAAATAAAATTTAAACCAAGTTTTAACATTGACTTCACAGCATTTCCCTCTTACAGTAAATAATAGCTTGTGCTTGTACAAAAAACAATAAAATAAATAAGCAACAAGGAAATGTAAGAAATGTATTGGTGACAAATTAGTACAAACTTCGACAATTCTAGTAACCTTAATAATTTACTGATTGTTTCTTTAATCACAGGTGAATGATTTCCAAACATTTTCGACGACTGCCTCAACACTTTGAAAAATTGATGTCAAAACTTGGATATGAAAGGCAGAATGGCGGGGAAGATAATAATCCAGATAATGACAAATATTCATACAAAGAAATTATAGAATTTTTCTTAAAGTAAATTTAAAAATATTAATGTCTAGTTAATTCTGATTTAGTACAGATTTCTATGTGTATTTATTTAATAACATATTACAGTAATTCAAATCTAAAAGTCTGTAATGATGGTGCGTTTCTAAAGTAAAAATTATTCTGGATGTTTTCCGTAGTCTAATAAAGTCATGAAATTGCAGGATGTTTCGGTGATGGGACTGTATCTCCGTCTTCAGGTATACATCCTCACTTGGGCCCAATCGATACAACTAATCCCTATATCCTGTGTACGGTTTTAGGAATTAGCTCTGAGCCATGCCTTATGGCTCGAAGTGGCTTATCTCCCCTCTCTAAGTTCTTTGGAGTCTGCGGCTTCGAGACCCTGATGAGACAGCAGGGCAATTAGGACAGTCTGTGTGTGTCCGCCGGAGAGAGAACGACTCGAGGAGAAAGACGGAAGGCAAGTCAGGGTTTGTGGGGGTTGAGTTGGGCATCTGGAGTCGCATACCCGGCCGGAGTTTGAGACCTGAAAGGTGTCTTGGTTCCGTTTATCTTATATTTAAATATTTCTCATTAAATAATCTACTTCGATTATTCGAAGTAGATTCATTTGGTTTTCTTCTATTACTTTTCACCGCTTTACCCTCCCCAAGCCGTACCACCTCCCGGCCTGGGACGATCGTGGCCTCAGTAGCGTAATCCGCCAGTCCCCTTCTCAGGGGGGTTCAGCTCTACCTATTAGTCCTAGCAGATAGAGTCACATCCCCGAAACGTGTAATTTTATGATATTTTTAGACGATGGAAAACACTTAGAAAACCTTATATTTTACTACAGTTATATTCGTTTATCTCTTCAGACAGAATTTCAATATTGAAGACAAAATGTTGTTGATTAACATTTTTATTACACTACAGAACCTTGGTGAAATTAAATTTGCGTGAACTTATTTTTGATTTGATATTCTGTAGCTTTATTTCTCATGTTTGCCCAGTGATATTGTTTAGCCTTATAAAATGTGTTTATTAGAGCACTTACTAAGAGATTTCACTCGAAGTTAGCTGTTGTGGGGAACCTCTTAGTCCGGCAACTCGGGAGGCACTCGTGCCGAACGAGGGCTATCAGAGGTCACCCAATTGCAACCGAGGGGGACTGATGTTCGACAGGTCAGCCGAGGCTGTTCCCAAAAGGTGGCCAGTCGGCGCATCGAGTGGTCAGTCCACTTTTCTACCCTGACTGAGGTTTTCCGTGCCTTTCCTCAGTTGTAATGCGAATGTCCGTGTATAATGTAATTGGGGCACGGCCTGCCACCCCCGATCACGAAGGTCCTTAGCTGAAGTGATCTCCCCCTCAAGCCGCAGAGGCCTTCAACCGAAGTTGCCTCTCCCTCTGCGGGTTCAAACCTCAGAGAACCAAAGAACCAAATTCTTTGGACAAGTTGCCTGACGTGATAACCTCTCATCAGCAGCAACAGATCCCAGTTTGAATGGTCGAGGCTTCCGCTACGACGTAACCCCGTTAGCGTTAGCAAAATTCCCGTTTTAGTTATAAGTTTATCATTTCCAGGAATGCGTTTCGTACGCAGGAATGATGTTACCTTGCTCAGGACTGCGCCCTGAGTTAGCTTTTTGGTTGGTTGGTGACAGTCTCTCACTCACTCTTCTGGAGTTCACAGTTACGGTCGACGCAAGTAAAGCTCGCCGCAGACCATCTACGGCCACTGGACCACCCGATAAATAGCTAAGCGCAGAGTCTATACCTATGAATAACATCTGGTGCATTGTCACTTACAATATTTTTCGTCAAATGTCCTATTCATTATTTACTTTCTAAATCAAGTTTGAGCCTTTTAATTAAATGAATTGATTTCCCTGATGATGACTTCTTGAGGTCGAAACGCGTATGGCAATCGTGTCTATTTTATTGTGTTAATAGTTGTTTGTTTCCTTATATTCGATGTCGTCAGGATAGGCGAAAGCCTCCTTATACCTATAAGCTTCCTGTCTTAGTTTCTACATGGCCACATCCAGTGCCAGGTTAAACGGTACAGCAGAGAGAGAATCCCCATGCCGTACCCCGGGGTGGGGTTTAGCCCCACGCCAAACGCCCAAACTAGAGGAACAAGGCATCGCCTTAGACCGGTCGGGTTTGAGTGACCCTACCAGGAGCCTAAGCTCCGGCCGGCAGAATAACTAAAATAATAGAGCCCCCCGCGACATTCCCATGCAGGCACTTGGGGTCAGCGGGGGTCAAGCTCCTAATCTTTCTTGACATCGGAATCAGATGGTGGTGAGTGGTAGCATCACGCTCCGGCCGTGAATTACCCCCGGGTTAGGATCTCGGACCCATTGTAGAGGAGGCTGGGTGGGTCCCAGAGCCAGTCTGGACGCAGAGGCTAGAGGAAAAATTCTCTGCCCCCATCGGGGATCGAATCCCGGTCGTCCAGTCCGTTGTCAGTTGTTATACTGACTGAGCTACATGCATTTCCTAAGTTGTTAACAAATGTACTGACGAATTCTGATGCACAATTTGCCATCATAATACAAAGGAAATGTAGTCCATGTCGGCATGTCTAAGACTGCTTATTGGAATTATGCAAGCAAACGAGCTAGAAAGACACCTGTAGACATGTCTCATCTATAGAGTTATAAAGTATGTGTTTTCTTGTGAATGGAATGAGACCTATCATGACTAAATGTGTCTAAGGCTTATAACCAATTGGTGTTCGTCCAGGTTAAAGCAGTTAAGCAGATAGAATTGGCAGGGTTCAGAAACTGACAGCCACAAAAGTGTCCCAGTATTGTTACTTCCCTTTGGAGAAGGGTTTGTCAGGATAAACCTCTTTTTGTCCCAAAAGGAGCTGCCTACAGAACCATGTCTATTGACGACCATTTAGGACTAATATAAAATTTGTATTGCAGAAAAGTACCATGCTCAAATGAAAGAGGCACAGCAAGTTGTAGCAGAGAAGACAAGTTCATTAGAAGCAGAAGCTTATAAAACAAAAAGACTTCAGGTAATGTTTTCAATGTAACATTTAAACAGTTCTTCGGCTTCGGATAAGGAGCACATCATGAGAAAAAATTTCGAAATCTTTACATTTCTTGATACATGAACTTTGTTAAAGCTTCTTTCTATCTATCTATTAGTAGCTTAACCCAATAATGGGTCATTGCCGCCGCCTTTCGGAGGTTTCCTAGACTTTAAAGCGTGCATTCATGAGTAGTGTTTGACACGCCCACTGAAAGCCATTTGTGAATTTGTTTTATGTATGCAGTGGAATTGCCCCAATAAAGTGTAAACAACTCCATGATTTTACTGAAAACAAATTGTTACTTTTTATTGGTAAATATTTATATTGATGTCAACAAACGCCTTTCGTTACTGTGGAAACAGATGGTCTGGGAATCGCTTGTGGAAAAAGTGCGTCGTACACAAGATACTTTTATGCAATTGAAAACCTTTCCAAAAATCAATAATCCAATATACACGTTTCATGCGAATTTTTAAGATTTTTAGTTATCATCGGTTATTCTTGAGAGATAATCTGTGGATACATTGTAAAAAATATATACGACTATGGCCACCAGATGACAGCACATCAGTCGCCTTCAACTCGTATTGTTGGTCTTGCCCATTGTTGATAATGCGACCCGTTGCTAGGCATAATAAATAAACGACAAATATTTGTTTTGTTGCAGTCAGAAGAACCATAAACGTGCAAAGTCTAGAGTAATAGAAAAATGATTTCGAGTAAAACGAATTATAATGTGAGAGAACAAGAACCTGCAGCTGAAGACATTCAATTTCACGGTATGGAGCGTGATCCTGAAATGGGTATTTATGGTAACTAAGATCAGGGCCGTGCAGTCGGAGTCGGTGAGAAGGAACCGACTCCGACTCTGACCTCGATATAAAATCTTAAGAACACTTTCGTTACCATTTGAGACGCCGATCGCCTCACGCTTAGGGAAATTAAATTACGCGTTAAACCACGTGGTGTGGGAATAATGCTTTGTAACTTTGGCTCAAGCCACGGTGGTCTAGCGGTTAGAACGCTGGCCTTGTAATCCTGGGGTCTCGGGTTCGATTCCAAGCGGTGCCCGAATTTATAACTTGTGTTGGGCAAGGCCGTGGTCTAGGCAACACGGAGTTTTCCTCCGTGGCATCCCAACAATTACTCCATTCACACACAGAAGAAGGCAAGGGCAAACCACTTCTGGATCATCTGCCAAGAACGTATATGAACAGATCCCAGTCCGAGAAAAGGATGGAAGAAGGATCCTGTTCATATGGACCTGTCGTCACACAGAACAACAAATAAAATAAAAATGTTTGAAACATGTGGTAGAAGCACACTCAGTGACCAGTAGATTGGAATCTGTAGACCGCGGGTGCCTTGTGGCCCGTTGCTCGGTGTGGTTGAGGACTTCCGGAAGCTATCCCGTATTGGGCAGTACATCGACCTCGGACTACGCTAAACGATTACCACGCGGAACAAGCGACTGTCGTATCGTCGAGAATTACAATATCATTAAACATAACGCTATTTTTGCAGTCCAGGAACTAGAATGCCTTCCCGTCTTGTATTTGTAAGGACGTCATGACTTGTCTCAGACACAAATTACGGTATTCCGGAAACTTTTGGAAGAGAAAACCGTTGTACGGATTAATTTTGAAATGTACAGTCTGGTGCGAAAGCTAGGACATCTTGAACCGGAAGTGTTGAATACCTCGTGACCTTGTCTTCATCTGTCTGTATCTTCATTATATTGTTGTAACAGTGTGAACCGGGATCATTGTTACAAGTATGACTGTTTCTTTTGATATAATTGTTACAGTTGTGTTGGTTTTTCTGCTTTCAGAGTCTTTCAAAGTGTACACTTTTCCAATCCGTCTTTATTATTCACATCGCGTGTTTAGTTTCAACTTGAGACGTGAAGAAAATTGTCCATTAACAAGCTTTTCAGAAGCTAGAGCCAAACAAACGGTGAGAAATGTTTGCCTTATAATTTTCTTCCTTACATCTGTGTCGCCATAATGTGATGTCGCTTTCCACGAGACTTAGAAATCTAGGACTGAAACGCCGAACTAGGTTTGAGAGACCCAGATGCACGACTATGGTCAAAGCTCTCATCGAGTTGTACAAAGCGTAACCTACAAACGTTTTGTACTGCATACATAGTAAAGTCCTATTTTCGATTTTATGTTATTATGTACAAATAGGATCATTTACCCACTCTCATTACGTAACATTAGCACCTTGTGACGTCTGCTTTATATGTATGTGTATTTAACAGGAAAGGAAAACTGTAGTCCAATCTGGAATATGTAAATAATTAAATCGAAGGTTCGTCACTGAGTTAACCAAAGCCCTTCACTGTACCTTGAAATTGATCAACAAAATCCAGCCTGCTCCATAGCCTGAGATTATCCTCCCATCTACGTCTAGGTCTCCTCAGAGATATCTTCGCCTCAGTCTTCCCAACCATTACCCAGTACATACTTCTTCTCCCGTCCATGTGTGCCACATGCCCCGCCCATCTCATTCTTCTATACTTAATCACCCTGACAATTTTTAATTTCGTCTTAATGTAGTTTTCTCCAGACAACGCCACCTTCTCACCTGGGATCAAATACTGAAATATATACACATTCAAACAAATTTTCTATGAATTGGAATGTTCACTCATCTTGACATTCATTTAATCAAGATACATATCAGTGCTTGTTTAGCTAAACAATGATACGAATATTTAATGTTGCATAATCATAAATTCCAATGTTGATAAAGCTAATTAATAGTTCAGATGTTAAATCTATGGAGAACACAATGTTTTCTGTTCTATTAAATACGTAAGTCAAATAATTTCCCAAAGGAAAGTTACAGATCTTCACGATTTCCGTATTTTACACCAGTTTCTATAAGCCTTCTTTCAGAAATGTGATTTCCTGGTAAAC